TTTATGAAAAACTACATACCATACACTAGCATCCATCATGTGCATGTATGTGGTAATGTTTGCTACTGAGATTCTCCCGAATCTCACCCCTTCGTAACCAACCATTTAGGTCAATCAATGATGGGCACTAATGGCATGAGAAGCAAGTAGAAGAAGTGGAGAATTATTGATGCTAATGATTGATACTAATATTCAATGTATAATTCTCCTATATTATAATTATGTTGTGAATGCCATGTATTTAATTATAAAGCTTATGGCATGTATAGGAATGTATGAGCATGAATGGGAAAAGGTAAGCCCATGTTAGGTATGCCAAAGAAATAAAAAGAATTAAAGTAAAGAGATGTTAAGGGATAAAACGTAGGTCATGGAGCAGTTAGTTTCGAGCTTCAGTTTGACCTATCATATGAATGAGTTAAGCTACGAAATTTGGTATACTTATAGTGCACATCTCAAGATTTAAAATGAGTAGTAAATTACCTCATTTGGATGTGTATACGAAGAGATATGAATTTTCAAAGTTAAGGCGCAGAATCTGGAAAGTCCAGATTTTACCAAACAAATAGTAATCTTAATCCAATAAACTGTATGTTTTCAATGACGATGAGTTCAGTTGAATATTTTTACCTTAAAGAGTATTGAAAGAGCTTTCTATAGAATTTTGGAACACCTCCATACGATTTTTCTAGAATTAGTTATGATTTTTCAAAGTTGGACCTGTAATCTAAAAACTGGACAGTGAACAGTAATTTTTCGAAAATTAACGTCCAAATTGAAATTTTTAAGTGTAAGACCATCCAACATGGTCTGGAATGGTTCTAAATGAATGCTAAGGTACTATATAAGTAAGGTGTGACACGTAACGTATAAAATTAATTGTATAGGAGTTATCTAGATATATGTAAGAGTTTAGGAAGGTAAAGTTTCAAAGGGTATGTTATAGAAGTTAAGGGTGCATATGAACAGGGCTGGGTAGGGCAGAGCCCCTGCCCAATGCCCTGCCTGAAGTAAGAGCGGGCTACAAATTGCAACTAGATGCTCGGCCCTACCCGTAAAAGCCCTATCCATTTTGGGCAGGGCATGGGCAGGGCTGGGCAGGGCGGGCTTCGTTGCCCAAAGAGTGATGCCCTGCCCTCATATCATGGGAAAACAAATTTTATCCACACCTAAAAATTACATTTTATAATTCTACATTTTAACACATTAAAATCATCCAAAAATAATCCAAAACAAGTGAAATCATCCAAAAATCATCCAAAACATATCTTAACAATTATCTAATTAAATAACATCAATAATCCATTTTAAGCAAGACAATCTCAATATTATAACTGAAGTTTTGAAGTTCAAAAGGCATCACTCTCCACAATTTCTACAAAAAAAAATGGAACACCTAAAAAAATACAAATAACAGTAATTATAACTTTAACATATTAGAAATAAAACAATTTTAAAAAAATGTACTTCTAAATTCTAAAGAATGATTAGATGCCCCTTACCAACTTGGCCAATCACGCTTATAAAATGACCCTTCAATCACTAATAGCCATTCAATTCTCTCCTCCAAATGTAGCAGCACCTAGGAAAGAAAATCAAAGAATAATTGCATACCAAATTATGAAGTAATATATATAAACATATATATGAATTATTGAGGTTTGGGGGGGAAGATTACTAGCAAGTTGAAGGACATTTTCTGACTCATCAAAATTATTGAATTCACGAAGCTTGCCGACAAATTCAGACATTGATTGCCCAGGTTGTAGCCAGTTTTGGCTACTGGCTACAAATTAGTGCTTTTGTCATTTTGGGAGATAAAGAACTCCTATAATGATCAAGCACACATCCTCCAGTGCTAAAGGCAGACTCAAGAGCCACTGTAGAAACTGGCATAGCTAATACATCTCTTGCCATGTGAGAGAGAATTTTATATTTTTCTAAATTAGCTTTCCACCATAACAGTATGTCAAACTCAGCTGTAGAAGGGATCTTGTCTCTTGAGTCTGTTGCTAGATATCTATCTAACTCGGTTTGAGGATCTGTTGAGGTTCTTTGTTTCATAGATTCTAACCACTTATGACCTGGATCCTCTTCACCACCACCACCATCATCATCATCATCAAAAGAAGGCAATGAAGTTCCACTTACTGTACTTGTGGAGATAGTCCCTAATTCAATAGAAGTCCCAGCAGAGTACTTATTAAACAACCGATACAAACAATCTTTGACCCTCTCCTTCATAATTAAAGATACTTCAGGATTGACATAAAGACAATCAAACATATGATGCACATGTGCTAGTTTATATCGGGGATCCAAAATGACAACCACAAATAGCAATGGATTCATATTATCTGCTTGACCCCAATACTTGTCATACTTTACCTGCATGCTAGTGCTCATTTCTCTCAAGAAGTTATTAGTATTATTCAAGATATTCTTTTGTAGTATTTTCTGAACACGGGCAATCTGGTGGAAGCATTCATTTGATGATGCAGAAAGGGAGCTTGAAAATTTCAATGTTATGTCATAAAAGACCTTTAAGAACTTGATGAATATTCGAGTACTATTCCAATCATCAATAATAGGACCAGAAAAGTTATCATCATGCCGCTGTCTAGCAGAACTAGAACCATCACGCCTAGAGCTTGAAGTGCTTAAGCTGAAGTATGAAATATAGTCATAATCTTCATCAAGTATTCGCTCAAATACTTTTTGAAATTTTATTGCACCTTCTAACATTAAGTACGTTGAATTCCATTGAGTGGTTAAATCAAGGCAAACAAGGCTTTTGATGTCTATTTTTTCAGCTTCAGCCCAAGTTTTGAATCTTAGAAAGCGTGAAGGAGAAGAATGAACAAATCTAACAGCACTTCGAATGGCTTCAAAGCTCTCTTTCATTTCTTTAATACCCTCATTTACCACCAAATTTAGGACGTGTGCACAAGATCTTAGTTGTAGATAATCACCTTCACAAAGTAAGCGCTTCCAACTCCTCAAACGCCTTTTCAGATATCCTAAAGCTGAGTCATTAGATGAGGCATTATCCACAGTTATGGTGAACACTTTCTCAATGTCCCAATCCAACAAGCACTGCTCAATGATCCTCCCTATAGTATCACCTCTATGATTTTCAATCATGACAAAATTTAGAATCCTTTTATGAAGCTTCTATTCATCATCAATAAAATGTGCTGTCAAACATAGGTAGTTAAAATTCTAATTTGGTGTCTAGCAATTTGTGGTGAGACAAATACATTTTGCACTTTGCTTCAAAAATTTCTTCAATATTTTAACTTCTCCAATGTAACACATCTCTTCCAATTGTTGTTCTTGAATGAAAAACTCATTTAACGATTTCCTAAATAGAGGCTTCTCCACAATTTTGAATGGTTGCTCATCACCAATAATAAATTTAGCCAAAGCTCTTCTACATCGCTTCTCATCATATACATGTGAAACTAAATATTTTCCTTGCCTAGTTGTTCGACCCGACAAAAGAGTTATCATAGATTATTTTTTATCTATAGTGGCCTTATGTGGATTCTTTGAACACTTTGAGATATGCCTTAGTAAAGAATTTGTCCCATGGCAACTTGGATTAGCTTTATAAGTAGTATGACAATACTTGCAAGCTGCTAAGTGCACTCTATTAGTTTCTTCTATTGGCAATCTCACGAAGTATTCCCACATCTCTGATGTGTGCTTAGTTTCTCTTTCCTTTCTCTTTGTACCCCTTCCTTCAACATTTGTTTCTTGTCTCATAGAATCTCTTTGTGTGGGAGTGGGAGTAGAAGAAGTAAGTACAGGATTAGATGATTGAACAGGAAGAGTTGGGTTAGGGGTAGGAGCTTTACTGGGTCTATTAGATTTGGTGTTTCATTAGGTCCTGGAAGGGTTGGTGCTTGAAAAGGGGTTGAAGCACCTTGAGACATTCCACCACCTGGCTAAGATGGCTGGGATGATGATGTCATAGAAACTTCTTCATCCATTAAAGCTGCAAAATTATATAATACACAATTACTTTCACAATTGAATTCAAGAGAATATGGTGAACACTTTACTCTTCAATGAATCCAAAAGGTGTAGAGTTGTTTCAGTTTTGGTATGATTGTTAATTGATTTAAGAAATAAAAGCAACGTATATATACCTTTTAATTATTGAGGCTATATGAATTGAACAAAGATAATCCTGAACAAATTAATTAAAAGGTATACCTCCGCAAAGGTTGAACAAATTAATAAGCTACAATAATACTTTACTATAACAATATAGCAAAATAAGTTGTTCCTTGAAGCCAAGGGGTGATTATTATTGAATTCTCATACCATAATTAATCTCCCTAAAAATTGGTCATATCTTCTGTATTTGGGTCTAATAAAAAGGAATGGCCAAAATAGCAAGGCGTCCAATAGTATCAAAACAAAACACATCAAACTACTAGCTGCCTAAAGAATAATCATAATGGGTGATGGCACAAATTAATGTCTATTCATTTTTTGGTCTACCTTTACGAAACCGCTAGCTAAGAAGCAATGTCCTCATTATCAAAATTCCAAGCTTATTCATGTTCCCACCATTGCTTATCAGATTATTTAATCAGAGCAACAAACTAACTACGTAATTAATTAGTGCATCATACATTCATACTTAATTCATTTTCTTGGATCGATTAAGACGGCAGCCCAAAAGTATAAGTCAGATGTAGCCGTATAAAGTAGTTATTTTAGTAACTTCATGTGAATTAAATTATTGCAGATTTACTTAACTAATATATCAGATAGCCTCAATAACATGCACACCAAACATGAAACATGGATAGAAAATGGGTGGGAGAGACTAACTAACAGAGTTGGAGGCTGCCTTGCTGTGAGCTGCTTTGCTGGTCGATGGTGCTGCTTCGCTAGTCAGTGGTCGTTGCTTCGCTAGTCGGTGAAGGAAGATGAAGTGGAGCTAGTCGGAAGTCATTGCTTCTGGTAGATCACGACACAGCGACATGCAGAGGGAGACTGAGAGACAGAGGGAGATCGAGAGGGAGACTGAGAGGGAAGAGCTGAAGAGGGAGATTGGGAGAGGTAGACCGTGACACAGTGATAGGCAAGACTAAGAGAGTGAGACGAAGACTGAGAGGGGGACTTCGTTCACGAGGGGGTGGCTGCTGCTTGGCTAGGGCTGGTCGAGTGGTGAGTGGCGTGCCTGAGCTGAGTGAGTGAGTCTGAGTGTAAGTGGTCGCAGGCTGCTGCTATGATTGGGATTTGGGAAGACCAAAATTAATGTAAAAAAATTAAAAAATATATAAAAAGTAATATGTCTCAGGCAGGGCAAGGAATCCTACTCGAAGCCTGGCCCTGCCCGTGATCTGCCGTACCCAAAAGTTTTTTTTTTGGGCTTCAATTATTCAGGCCAGGCTGGGCCTTTTTTCCCTGGGCTCGGGCTAGTGCACCGGGTGAACAAGCATCGTGAACACCCCTAATAGAAGTTATCGATACAGGGTCTAAAGTTCAAGGTATATTATATACTACCTCCGGTCTTAAATATAAGAGGTAGTTAGAGATTTAATTTGGTTTTAAATATAAAATCTTAATCCATTTTGTCATGTTGATTCATTTTTTTTCCAAAACTAATCCACATGGTAATTACACATGCTAAAGAGTTTTTATTATCATGCACATCATTAACAAGATATTGTACAAAAGACAACACTCATTTATTACAAATAACTAACTTAACTAATTTTCTTAATATTTACAAATTAGCTATCTAATTCCTATATCAAAAACCAGAGGTAGTATAATTTAGAAATTAAAATAGTATTTGGATACCTTACTTGTCTCTCGCAGCTTTCTACTTCTTGATCCAATTCATATCATTGCTCTTCCTATAAATAGAAATCAATCTACCATCTAAGAAATCAAACTTCTCAACTTCTATAACTGAGTCGATGTTTAAGTCTCTAAAGCTACCAACCTATCAATGGAGAAAGGAAACTATTACATTGTCATGGTTCCATGTCCAGTCTTTAGCCATCTCATTCCACTCATTGAGTTAGCAAAACGGCTCGTCGTTCACTACCCTGACTTCTATGTTATTTTCCTTATTCCCACATTTGGCCCTCCCTCATCAACTACACTTTCCATCCTCCAGTCTCTCCCACCAAACATAGATTTCACCATTCTTCCACAAGTCAATGAAAATGACATGCCCCCCACTGTCGTTCATCCAGCAACACATATGCATCTCATTGTGTTATATTCTCTTTCTTCACTTCTTCAAGCTTTGATTTCATTGACGGATTCTCAAACTTATCACCTTGTTGCTATGATCACTATGTGTTCTCAGTGGATGCTTTAGAAGTTGCAAAGCAATTCAACCTCAAGACATACACTTATTGTGCTTCATCAGGTCCTTCATTAAGTTTCTTCCTCAATTTTCCCAAACTTGATAAGGATCTTGAGATTCTTTCCACTAACTTTCGTGAGCTGCAACAGCCTGTGAAACTTCCAAGTTTCAAGCTATTTTTTGTTTCTTTGGCCACCTTGGCTATCTCTTGTACTTTTATCCTATTTTTCACTTAAGAGCATGGGACACTCGGAAGTTTCTTTAGGTTCAAATTTCTCCCAAAAGTTTAAAATCAAAACAATGTTACCTCCTATCATTGAATGGTCAACATCACTATTTTAATAGTCAACCTTAATTTTCTAATGGTAGAGGGCAATATTGCTATAATTTTAAACTTTTGGGATAAAAGACCTAAAAAAATACTTTTGAATGCTTAGCACCTCTAAGTGAAAACTTCTAGACAAATTTGTACATTAACCCTTAGTAAATCAAGTTAAAAGCAATATGTATTACTATTGATGTGTTTTGCTGGTTGTGTAGCTCTTCAAGGCAAGGATCTCATTGACTCGATTCAAGACAGAACAAGTGAATCCTACAAAACAATTCTTCATATTAGAAAAGGATTGGATTTGGCAGATGGTATTATACTAAACAGCTTTATGGATTTGGAAAGAAAGGTAATAACAGCTCTGCAAGAAAATAACCATAAATACCCTCCTATATATCCGTTGGGCCCTATTTTATAGAGTAAGTCAGCTGGCATAAACGAGACAACTTCAAAGTGTTTAAAATGGTTAGACAATCAACCATCTAAATCTGTTCTGTATGTTTCTTTTGGGAGTGGAGGGACACTGTCACATGACCAGCTTAACAAGCTAGCCTTAGGGTTAGAGACCAATGGCCACAAGTTCCTGTGGGCTGTGAGGGCTCCAAACGGGTATGCTTATTCGGCTTATTTGAATGAACAAAAGGAGGACCCATTTGACTATCTGCCAAAAGGGTTTCTTGAGAGAATCAAAGATCAAGGCTTTGTGCTTCCATCATGGGCCCCGCAAATTGAAATGTTGAGGCACCAGTCAACTCGTGCGTTCTTGACTCACTGTGGCTGGAACTCTACACTTGAGTGTGTGTTCTATGGCAAGCCTATGATTGTGTGGCCATTGTTTGCAGAGCAAAGAATGAATGCTGCGATGCTAAGTGAGGAGTTGAAGATTGCTGTAAGGCCAAAAGAGAATGCAAATAATGATGGGATTATTGTGGAGAAGGAGGAAGTTTCTAGAATTGTAAAGAGTGTAATGGAAGGTGATGAAGGGAAAGAGATTAATAGAAGAATTCAAGTGTTTAAGGATGTTGCCGCTAAAGCGCTTGGAAAAGATGGTTCGTTTTCAAGAATACTCGCTAGTTTAACAAATCAATGGAAAAATTCGAATGGCAAATAGAGAGATGAGAGCTTAGTTTCAATGTATATTTTATCGTTATTTGGCTTAGTCGTGCATTTCTCTATCTTTAACAATAATTTGTTTTTATTTAAGTTTAACGTCATACGATGTTCTTATTTTAATTATTGTCAAAATTCGGGGGATTCATTCCATATGACATTATACTACCCCTGGCCTTTAATATAATAGCTATTTGACTAATTTGAATAGATTAAAAAAGTTTACTAAGTTAGTTATTTGTAATAATTAAGTATTATCTTTCTTAGAATATCCTTACTAATCATATGTATTAGCCAAGACCACTATTTAATAAAACTTTTAATATGTACAACTACAAGAACTACTTTGAAAAGAATAAATAAATATAAAAGACAAAGTGCCTATTTGGTTAAGCTGTGAGAGCTCAAAAAAGTTTGTTTAAATCTAAATAAGTGACTATGAAGCATGTTTATCCTGTATGAGTAATTTTTATAAAATCCCGATAAAACAATATTTCATTCTTTCACTGCACTTTTAAGATAAGCACAAAGGAGTAGCTTATGCATTTGAAAAATCCCGATCAATTTTTATCAAACAAAATTTTTCCAATTTACCCTCTCATACTCTTCCAAACATCTCTCCCCAAATGATTATATTTAATAATATTTATTAAATTCATGTCTTTTTGGTAATTATACATCTATAAGTTATTTTAATAAATGGAAACCAAACATAGTCACAATTCTTAAAATAACTTATAAAAGAAACATATCCAAATAAAAATCATAATTAACCAACATCACTTATAGCCAGTGTCATTTATAAAATCTACAATGATTTGAAATCACAATCATTCACTGCTAATCCAAATGAGTACAAAGTGGATTATGGTTTTATATTTAAAAACAAATTAAATGTCAAAACAGCTCTCATATTAAGAACTAGAGGTAGTAGATTGTTAATGGCCTTGAGGCTTGAGCTTCCACTTACGATCCCCTAACCCTGCCAATTTCCCTCCTCTAATCTGTCCCAACTAGGATGTTTCTAGCTTTAGAACCAACGGATTTAAAGATTAATTTTTCAAAATGCTTTTATTATTTTATTTCTGTGTCTTAATTTTATAGATTTGGTTGATTCTTGATTTGTTTGTGTTTATTTCAATATATATATATATATCATTACTAACCCCTAGACCTTTGTGAGAAATGAATTGCATACTATTCTTCATACATCTTTATTTAAGTTGTCTAAATCTTATTTATACATGTCATATCTATATTTTAATTTTTAATTAAAATATAGGATGAATCTAGAGAAATGATATAACAACAAGTTAAAAATTGCAATACTCTAATTCAGGCACTTAAAATGTCAAAATCCCAAGGAAGAAAGTGGTGCCTGATATGGTATTTTGCAAATGTAGTTGAATAACAAAAATGACCTTGTATAAGATTTTTTTGTAAAAAAAAAAAAAAAGCTATCAAACTTATAATTGCTAGTATATTTCTTGTTATTGGTTGTTTAACACTTCTTGCCATTGCCAATTCACAACTTCTTAACAAATAACTTGTTATTGCTAGTACATTTCTTATCATTTGCTGTTCAATACTTGTTATTACCAGTTTATAACTTATTAATAAACTTTTTGATATAAGGATATTTTTGTCATTTAACTATATTTGTAAAATACCAGATCAGGCATCACTTTTTTCCCTAGGATTTTGACCTCTTATATGCTTGAATTAGAATATTGCAATTTTCAACTTCCATTTTCCCATAATTTTTTCCCGAATTTTATAAGACAAAACGTCTATATTTCAAAAGATGAAGAATTATATGCATTTTATTTCTTGTTTTCTTCCAAATAAACAAATAAATAAAATTTATATTTATATTGTGAGAATCATATGCGCGTACATGTTCAAAAAGCATAAACATATCAGATAATGTGATCCAACTCCCCCCCCCCCAAAAAAAAAAAAATCTGATGGCATACGATAAAATATATAGCAAGCGTTGTTTTCCAGGTAAAAGTCTGTGATCTCATCTCGATGAAGAAAATATTTAAATCACAACAGGTTTTGTACGGACTTGGATCCTCTCCACTACCTTCCCATCCTCTTCCTCTCCACTACCCTTCTTTTCTCTTCACAACCATTGGATCAAAATTCCAATGGTCCATATTTAACATCTTATAAAAATAATGTTATTAAATAAATAAATAAATTTAAACTGTTAAAATCTGGTCTGAACAGTTTACAATTGTAATAAAAAAAATTAAAAAAATTTGCTTTATAATAACAGTCTGTAGTTATGAACTGTTCAGATTAGATTTTAACAGTTTAAATTTATTTATCTATTTTTTATCATAATATTTATTTTTATAAAATGTTATAACATATTAAATCTGGACCATTGGAGTTTTGATCCAATGGTTGTGAAGAAAAAAGGAGGGTAATGGAGGGGAAGAGGATGGGAAGAGTAGTGGAGAGAATCCAATTCCGTTTTGTACCGGCGGGTTTTCCACTAGCCATTCCTTTAATTTGAAACACGATATGATAAAGCTCAGAACAAGGTTACTAATCAATTTGCACAAAAAAAGATGGCCTAAACATAAAAGCAGCCAGAATTTTCACTATATTGAGAGGAGAAAAAAAAAACAAATTTGCAAAGATTTACATATAGGGTTGAGTTATTGGAAATGATTGAAAAGTAAAAACAAGATATAATAGCATGTAATACACTAAATTTAACGTGGAAAGACCCCTATATTATATGCCCCAAAAAAAAAACTAACAGTAACTATCTAAAGGTTTTACTATGAACAACAACCAATTAAATTACAATATAAATCCGTCATTTTCTAATAACAGAAAAATTTTATATATATATATATATATAATAGAAGAATATGCCTAGCAAAATATTGGCGTCTCAGCTCCTTTATAGGTTTTAAGTAATTTGATCTCGTTCATTGTCTCAAGCTTTTGGCTTGCCCTTATAATAAGAATGTATAAAGTATCCTACAATCTTATAAAATGTTTTCTTGTATTGCAAAGCAAGCAATTATTGATGATTTTTTTAACATTATTGTCGTCTATATAGCCACCAAATTCAATAATCAAAGCAAGACAGAATATATCAAGTCCAACCAAAAAAAAAAAACAAAGAAAATTCAAGGCATATATTCCGATAAGATATATTTGTTGGCTAGCAATTGGAAACGAATATCTATCATATGTTCATCTGTTGAGCATATAATATTCCTAATGGCAAAAAAAAGAAAGAAATATAATAGGGTTAATTAATCCACAAGTCCTTGTAATTTCAACTAATTTTGAATCAAGTCCTTATAGTTTTTTTTCTTTTTATCAGGTCCTTATACTTTCATTTGTTTTTAATTAAGTCCTCGCATTTATTTTTTTTTATTTAGTCCTTATAATTTCACTAAATTTTTAATCAGGTCCATCTAGTTTTAATTTTTATTTATTAATTAAATATAAACTTAATTAAATAAATTGATACTGAAATAAAATATTAATAATTAAATTAAATAATAATTATATAATAAAATATAAGTAATATACTTAATTAATTCAAGAAAAATTTTTAGAACAATTATTTTTTTTTGCAAAAAAATTATTATAATAATTTATTATTTTTAGAATATTATTGTTTATAAACTAATATTGAATAGTAAATACTATTTTATGTTTATAGAATAGTACTATTAGAATTTATAAAATAAAGAATAAAAAATTTAAGGACTTAATTAAAAATAAGGTGAACTTATAAGGACTTGATAAAAAGAAAAATAAATACAAGGACTTAATTAAAAACAAGTAAAAGTATAAGGACATGATAAAAAGAAAAAAATTATAGGGACCTGATTTAAAATTAGTTGAAACTATAAGGACTTTTAGATTAATTATCCCAATATAATATTGCCCATGTGAGGGAATTTTACACGTTTACGAGGTCAACCGACAAAAAATGCCACGTCCACATGGACTCATCATTATTAAGCTCAAAATATTTTTAATAGAACCTATCAATTTTTCAAACTACAAATTATGAATGTAGTGGGCCTCTCTTAGCATTAAAGACAAAAGATGCTAGCATAAAAAATGAGTGGCATCAAGTTGCAATTTATAAATCGAACTACTCTTAGTATAATTAAACAATTTTAGAACACTAATTGAGATAAAGAAAACTATATTTGCTTTAATTACTCCTATAAATAGAAGTACTTAAAAGGAAGTATGTGAAGCAACATCCAGAATATCAATCATCCATGGAGAAAAGAAATCCTTGCATTGCCATGGTTCCATGTCCAGGCTTTGGCCATCTCATCCCAGTTGTAGAGCTTGCAAAACGACTTGTCGTTCATCATCCTCACTTCCATGTCACTCTCTTCATCCCAACACTTGGCCCTCCCTCCACAACCACCTATTCAATCCTCCAATCTCTTCCCCCTCACATAGACTTCACTATTCTCCCACAAGTGAATCAAAACAACATCCCTCAAAGTGCCGTCCACCCGGCAACACAAATGCATCTTACTGTCATGCTCTCTCTTTCATCACTTCATGATGCTCTGAACTCATTAAAATCTCGAGATCATCACTTTGTTGCTATGATTGTGGATTTCTTCTCAGTGGATGCATTACAAATTGCGAAGCAATTCAACCTCAAATCATTCGTCTATTATGCTTCAGGAGCAACTTCACTGTGTTTCTGCCTCAATTTTCCCCAACTACACAACGATCATGACACTGTTTCTACAGGGTTTCGAGAACTATCACAACCCCTAAAACTCCCAGGTTTCATAGTTTTTTTTTCTTCTGGTTTAACGAAACTAATAATATCTATCAGAAATTAAACTAATGGAACTTCCTTTCAGGCTGCATAGCTTTTCTTGGCAAGGATCTTCCGGACACAGTTCAGGATAGATCGAGTGAATCCTACAAAACAATTCTGCACATCTGTAAACGGTTTGATTTTGCTGATGGTATCATAGTGAATAGCTTCCAAGAATTGGAACAAGAGGTAATAACGGCTCTACAAGGGAGTAACCATAAATACCCACCCGTTTATCCATTGGGGCCCATTTTAAAAACTGAATTAACTGGCCAAAACGAGTCAGATTTGAAGAGTTTAGTATGGCTGGACAATCAAGCACAAAACTCAGTTTTATATGTCTCTTTTGGGAGTGGTGGAACACTGTCACTTGAACAAGTTCATGAACTTGCTCTAGGGTTAGAGATGAGTGGCCACAAGTTCTTGTGGGTAGTGAGAACCCCAAGTGAGTCTACTTCTTCAGATTATTTGAGTGCAAAAAAGGAGGGCCCACTTGATTATTTGCCTAAAGGTTTCGTTGAAAGAACCAAAAACCAAGGCCTTGTGGTCCCATCATGGGCCCCACAAATCCAAGTCCTGAGACACGAGGCCACTGGTGGGTTCTTGACTCATTGTGGTTGGAACTCCACGCTTGAGAGTGTGTTCTATGGCAAGCCAATGATTGCGTGGCCACTATTTGCAGAGCAAAGAATGAACGCAGTGTTGATAACTGAGGAGTTGAAGATTGCTTTGTGGCCGAAGAAAGAGCACGATAATAACAATGGAATTGTGGGGAAGGAGGAAGTTTGTGGGATTGTGAAGAGAGTAATGGAAGGTGATGAAGGCAAAGAAATCAACAGAAGCATTCAGGTTTACAAGGATGCTGCTGCAAAAGCGCTTAGTGGAGATGGTTCCTCCACTAAGACCTTGTCTTGCTTATTATCTGATCTCCTGAATGGAAAATGATTTAATTCGAATGATCGAGTTGTGCCAATAACAAATGCTTGAGTTTGATTTGTATATGTATTATATACAAATACTGTATGTGTGGGTGAGTTCTCTCGGTAATGGCCAAGATTTTGGAATTATATATGTGGAACTAATTCTATTAGTTTTACTGCTAGCAAAATTACTGATTGGACTTCATTAAGATCCATTCCCTCTCCTTCCTTCTTTTCCAAATAATTCTGGTCATTGAACCAGACGCATCCTTGCAATTCAATGCTTTTGTATATGTGTTTAAGTTTACAGTAATAATTAAAAAAGAGTTTTGAAATGAAAAATACCTATAAAAATATATGAGAGAACTTTTTTTGCGTTCAAACCTGCCAATCTAAGTTTAAGAACAGCTCAATAATGCCGGCATCATTAAAATTAACCAACATCCGTTTTCTTCATTGTGGGACCCATGATTTTTTAAATAAAAGTGTCAAAATACTCCAATTAAAACCCAAAAAAAAAGTTAAGGTCAAAAATACTTGTGAACTTATACCAATAATTTACCAAACACCATATAATTTCATGGAAGTACCAAAAGATCTTATAAATCTTGAAAGGAAGCCGTTTAATTTAATAGTTATGCCAATAAATCTCTTAGTCTCCTAACGAACATGTAGGAATACTTTTTTTGGTTATATTTACAAAGTAAAGAGAGAACATTCCGTTTTCATTCCAAAAAAAAACAGAGAGAGAGAGAGAGAATATTCCCTTTGTTCAGTCCATAATATAAGTCATTTCTAAGAGAATGACTTGGTCTAAAATATAAGTCACTTAAAGAGTAATTAATACTTATTTGTGAATTTTGTCCATACAATTAATGCTTAAATATAACTTCTTGTATTTTTCTGTATCCTTAGTAATCTTATTTAATATGGGTATTGAAAAATATTTTCAATTCAAAACATATTTGATGAATTAATTACCATTTTTTGATATTAATAAATTAGTTAAAATGATTTATATTATAGATCAGAATGAGTATAAATTTGGATTTTATACATAGTATGCTGATGTAATTTTTCATGTAAATGTACGAATTTGTCTTTATTAAATTATTGACACTTATTAATTCATCCCTCAATTTTGTCTTCTTCCCGTCCCATGACATTACTTATTCTTGTCTCTTCCACTGTCTCTCTCTCCTCGTTGCCTTTTCCATGCCGCCTCTACAGTAAGCTCGTGATGAAGTTTTACTTTTGTAGTTGATTATTAGTGTTACTTTTATAATTAATTATTTAGATGATTGGTATGATCTTATTTTAAACTGCAAAGCCGCCTCTGGCAACAAAAAAAAACCTACAAAGCCGCCATTTTTTAATGATTTGTTTTAGTCTTCCCTCGTCTTATATTCGCCTTCATTTATAAAGTACTCTTTCAAAATTTTGCTTCGTTGAGAATAGATTCGTGCACAGCATTACTTTAAACATTGATTGATTGGTTCACTGTCTTTAATTATATAATGTAAAAAAGTATAATAACATTACTGTAAAAAAGATACCATAAAAGAAACACTTTATATACAATGGCTTTATAAATTACTTTATTGAGAAAAAATTTTTTGTTGAGATAACACTGTAATTTAAGAGTTAAAAATCACTATAAAATTTTTTTTAATTATTATTAAATGAATTGAATAATCTAATTATTATTATTAACAAATAATTTTTCGCTTTTGAAAATAAATACCTGTCCAATCCTAATTACTGTTCCGTCCACCCGTCCAGTCCCGAATTAAACGGGACCAAAATAGGATAAGTTGAACACTCTCTACTCTCCCACGCTTCATCTTTACCAGTCCCGTACCCTCGCCCCCACCCTACGCCCAGTGCCCCTATCCCCGCTTGGTTTTGCCGCCTTCTCCTTTAACCCCACTTAATTAATGCTTAATGGAAGTTTTCAGCTCATGTACTGTCGAGAGAAAAAACATAACAATAATAGACATATTACTCAATATGGTTCATAACTTTATTTTTTTGAGGGACACACTCAATATAAGCATGTATATTTTATAAATGAAATTCCAAGTTTGTGTTTAAATCTTTTTGAAAAATCTGATGAGTTAGAAGTTTAACTTCACACACACACACACACACACACTCTTTATATAAACTTGTCTTATAAAATTTGGATGAAATTCTTTTGATTTGATTTTTGAACACTCACAAAAAGCAAGTAAATCGACTTCCTAACAACTCCCCAAGATTTTTTATGGCAAAAGTCAAAATGATTTGATGATCAATTATTAGGCATCAGCCCATCGGGGTGACATAGCAGTTGAATCAGTTCCTTTCCAAGTTACAAAGAAGATGGGAAAACCATTTTGCAGTGCACGTATTTTTTTTCCCTTAATTCTTAATTTAGTGCATTTTCATGTTTTTAATTAAACTATTAGCACTGTTAATTACTACTAGTTTCAGTTCTAAATATAAAAACTAGTTAAAAATTCAATTTGGTCATATATATAAGATCTCAATTTACTTTGTTTTTCATATTTATTTATTTTTTTCGATTATGGTAATTACACATTTTGAATGGTTTTTATTCTAATATACATGATTAATAAAATTATTATTTTAGGAAAGACAACTCTCAATCATTAAAAATAATTAACTTAACCAAGTTTCTTAATATTCAAAAATTAGTTATCTGACTTTTATATTAAAAATAAAATATAATATAACTTCGTTTTGTTAGCTATTAAGCCCCGTAGAGGAGCCAACAGTCCCTTTCCAATATCCAACAGCGTTAAGAGATGAGAAACCTCAAGAAATATCATGTAAATTAGGTATAAATCAAGTCCAGATACTAAAATCTGGCCGTCCCTGCAAGCTGGCATGAAAGAGTTACAGAAAAGAAAGGAAGAGAATGAAATTTGAAACTTGTGAATGACGAAGGTTTAACAACATGGTAAATTTCCAAGGATGACAATTCAGTAGGTATGCTTTCCCGTATTTCCTCCTCTTTTGCCAACATGTGGTATGCCATCATAGACAAGATGGCTTTCAAGAGCAACTATGTCGCTGTTAAATTTAAATTGAAAAACAATTTCTTTCATAGTAATATCTTTAAATATAAGAAACAAATTATCCTTATCTAAAATTTTAAACTTGTTTTTTTTCCATTAATATAGGCCACTTATTATCTTTTTACAACAAATTTTTACTCATTATTTTTCATACACTCTTTTTATAAATAAGGATATAATTAAAAAAACTATTTACATCTTATATATTTACTGCTTTTAACTAAATTTAGCTAACTCTATGAACTGATTGATTTTAATAATTTTTTTTATAATAAAAGATGAAGAGAATATTTATCTATCTATCATTTTTTTTTTCAAAATGTTTTCATATAAAAGTAATGTAAAACAGTAAAGGGGAAAGGGAAGCGGGGAAGAATAGCAGACAAACAAAGAATAAGAGAGAAACTCGGAGAAAGAAATTCAATGTTTAATTCTTTTTTTTTTTTTCCTTGGAATGTAAACGGCAGGCCAGAGCTTGATCAAAAGAAAACCAAAATCCTAACCGCTAGTAGTAAACCTTCCCGTCGACTCCATTCGGGTCTCTTCCATAACAATACTTCTGCAGTTGACAGGTACTTGATGCAGTACGCGAACCTGATTATCTATTGAGTGATCTCCCCTGGCTAGGGTATCTGTGCACATGATCGCCTCCCTCTCTACACGAACTATTTGAACAGAACCAGTTTCATTACTCATCAATTTGATAAGTACTCTAAAACTTATCAAATCTAAATTGTTTATATTTAATTTGAACAGTCTAGATTTAAAATTTTTAATCAATAATTTTTAAATAAAAAACTATTTTTTAGAAAAAAGAGATTATCTTTATTTTAAATTCTATACATATTAAAATAATTATTTTAAATAAATAAAAATAAAAAAGCAATCAAATCCGGACGATCCAAATGAGATATAGACAGTCCAGATCTGATGAGTTTAACATGCTCATTAAAGTGATGAGCACCAAAACTGAACTTGTTGGCTTTTATACAGTAGTTGGCATGTCTCTTCAATTTCTCTCTGAAACGGATGATTAACTCCATTATCTCTCAACAAAGTGTTGATTGCTTCTATCGAATCTGAAAACAGGTGGATGGGTTGTCTCTGAAGAGTAATTGCACAGACTTGGATTCCCGTTTCAATCGCAGGGACCGTTGCTATGGTAACAGGGAATTTTCCCAGTGCATGTTGGAATCCCAACACCTATTCTCCCTCCGCGTTCCTCATAACCCCTCCGCATATTTTACCGGACTGATGCATATTAAACTCCACTCCTCGTTTCCCTTTAGCAAAAGATGTCTATACTTTCCTGTAGCTGTGTCCATCAGATGGAAAATACATTGTTGGCAGGTTGAGCCGGGTCCGAACAGTTCCTTCAAAGATCCTTGAGCACCGTGCTTTCCAAATGAGCCGGCAAACATGACCAAAGATTCTAGTCCATGGCCACCTTCTGAACCGAGCTTGAGTCGGGTTTTTCGACATGTTCCATTGAAGCCATTCCTGCAAGTCAAAAGAGAAGAAGGCAGTATAATGGTTAGCTTCTAAAAGTAGCTCCTACACTTCCTCGCTTCCTCACAATCTCTCAAAGTTTGTATGATGCTCTGCTCACACTGGTGACATAAAGCGCATTCCGCCGTCTCTGACATCCCTATTATGGCTCTTAATTTGTTGGTAATCAGTCTCTCACTTTTCCCAAGCCAGAAGAAAAATGTCATATTTTCAGGCACTTGCCAATGCCAAGTTTTCTCCAGTCGTGTCGAGCCCAATTCTGTTTCATATAAAGGCGTACAAAATGATATCGTTGAAAATTATTTATAGCCTCAACCCTAATTTTAGCAATTAAATGTAAAATATTCTGAAATTTCCAAAAATTAAATGCCAATATTCTGACATATTCTTGACTGAAAAATAATAATAATAAGTAAAACGATTACAAGAAATTAAAAAAAAAAACATTATAGATCTTCAAATCTTCAAAAATTCCTTTCCCCCCTTCTTTCTCGTATTTCCATAAAAAAAGAATCTAATTTAGTTTTTTTTTTATACATATAAGTTAGCCTATTAACATACTCTTGTTTGATTTGATTATCATGCATGTTGTAGCACTAATGATTTTAATACCTACAGGCGTCCCCTTCAATAAGAACATTTTAGGAATACGTCCCCGTAGAAAATAAAGAACTGAACATCAAGGACGCAGCCCATACACTCATAGTTGCAGCCATTCTGATAGCCAGTGACATTTGTAGCTGGCTTCGCAATACTAGGTGTGCTTTACTCTTCTGATTACAAAAACGTCCCTAATAAAGAAAGAGGCATGACAGTTTTGGCTGATCATCGAAGGCTTTCCAAATAGTTCTTGATTTTTAGCACAATCCCTATGTATTGTTCTACTTTGAGCACTTTTATTCTTCTTTGGATACATTTAGGTGATTGATGTCATACCCATGCACTAGTAAAGTTATTCTATTTGACTTTGAATCACTAAAAGTAAGGTTTCATCCTACAAAAAACGATTTTTTTTAACTTTTACCAAACACAGGGTTTGATGCTGTTTAAGAAATGAGGTTTTCTGAAAAATTCAAATTTTTCAAAAATCAAACACTTGATTTAACCCTCTTTACAAAATTGGTAAAATTAAAAAAAGACCCAAGTTCGCATTCAACCACCTGAACCCATTTATTTTCCATCCAACCATTAGGACCTGTATTAAGTCAATTATCGATCGTAGGGCCTAGCATTCCATACCCTGATCACTGGCCCATTAAAAGAGTACATATATTCATACACACAATCCTGGGCATAATAATAACAAATATCAGCACACAGACTATTTATATCATTGGCAGTTACTTGTAGTTTATCTGCCCTTATCCACCTCCTTATGGACTTACATAACAAAATATATATACATATACATACACATTTATATCTTCAATCTAGAATAGCAAAATATAATAAGCATATTTAAACAAAATACATAATAGATTCTCCAGCCTCCTCCACTTTCAAGCTCCACCAATCATACCTCCCTTGCCCTTAAAAGTACTTGCTTTTGCTCTATACCATGGAAGAAGAGATGAGATTCTAAAGAATCTCAGTACTGAAAAATTCATTCATGTAATCATACAATATTACAAACAAACATGCTACCCAGGCCAAAGAAAACAACACCTTGTAACCAAATATAATCAATGATGCATATACACTATACACTCACATAGTCAGTTGCTAACTATCGCGCCCACATTCCAAAATAAATGAAAACCAGCACATATTGTCATGACAAATGCTATCATGCAAAGGCAATTTACATGTTCTCATGCACAATAAGCATAATGGCACATCTAAACAAGCCTCAATCAATGCACAATCACATAAAAGAAAAGAAGTTATTACCTTTTGCTCTTTCTTCTATACTACCTTCCCCTTGCTTCCTTCTTGGCTCCTCTCTTAACGGACTTGGGCAAATATCAAATCCTATAAATTATATAGGCAAGGGCAGATTAACACACACACACATATTCATCTATTGTACTAAGACAACAAATTCACTTCCTTTGTTTCCAACTTTAATTCATTAAATTAATTAGCTCTTTGCTTTATATTTGATCGTAACTTTAATTTATTTTCAAGCCATTACCCTTCTAAGTTTATTAAACCATTAGCCAAATCAAAACATATCTATTTTTAACAAAAAATAGAGTTGTCCAAACAAGGAAGAAGATAGTATGTATTAATCAAATTATAATATTTCTAACTCTATATCTTGCCTTGTAGAGACCATAAATTCTTTATTTCCAGTTCTTTTTAAATTGAGCACAATATGGCCATAGACTTTCACTCCAAGAATTTTAAATAGCATCTCATACACTAGTTCATAATTTGAACCGTACAATTTTCTAACATTTAAGCATCTATATTGAGGTTTCAACATTATTCTTACATTCTAGAAAATTTTCCCAGACTTAAAACAATGATCAAGCCACCATTTCAATATGTTCAAACTTGATTTAATTCTCATCTTAATGGTCCCAAATGCAGTCCATTCATCTAGAACAATTACTAAGCATTTGGCACATCAAACAACAAACCTTGAATCCAGTTTTAAGCTTCCAAGACATAGTCAAATTCAATTCTCCCTAATTAAATAATGTTGTCTGAAACAGGGAAGAAAAAGATCCTCAAACTCAAACTCTAACATCCCATCCTTCATATTAGATTTTAAACCATTGTTTTAATGTCCTTAACCAAATTCCGCAATATAAAATAATTTCTTGACACCCAGGGACATTAAACAGCAAATTTGAATCAATTCCTAGCTCCCCACGTCAACCATTATGGCACACTCAAGCATAATTATATGTGTATCTCATGTTCGTAGCATTTAATCACAATAACACCTCCCAAATTTCCAACAGCCCCCCCCCCCCACGTTAGTTCTGAAAATTATCCAGCTTCAAAACTATTTTCTTACCATTACAGTAGAGCTTTTAGCCTAATCTAATAATTCAACATAACAATACTAATTGTGCAGCATTAACCAATAATAATTCTTCAATTTTCCAGTTTGAAATATTGCCACTAAAATTCCAGATTTGACAAGCAAGCCTACCCACACACTCATAATTCTTCCGAATCATCACTTTCAATCAGCATAGTCACCACACACATATATTTCATATATGTCAATTCAAACCCATGCTTCCATTTCAAATTGAACAACCACACACACGCACACGCGCGCGCGCGCGCGCACACACTTACCTCCAAAAATATTCCTATATATCTTCACTTTAGGCTTTACTTATCTCCTTTCCTCTGCTACATATCACGCCATTTAACAGCAAGTCTGGAAATTTTTCCCAGTCACCAAATCTCTGAAAAGAAAAAGTAAACATCCTACATCTCATATATATAAATATATATAGACACATCACAACATCTTCAACTTCATCAAAAACCCAGCGCTCAAAGAAGCCAAAACAAAGAGTTTAAATCCAAAATCACAGACCCAATGTTCGAAAGTTATAAAACAAAGTAAATCAAACATATGCAGTCCAAAAACCCCTTCACTCAACTCCAAATTCTTGCTTCAGCTAAAGCTTTCCTATTCTTCGACTTTCTCTCTCTAGAACCAAATTTCAGCCACTTCTCTCACTCCCAAATATTCCCCCAAGCGAAGAAACTAAGAGTAAAAGGAGATTTAGAAGACTCACCTAAATCAGTTTCTAAAACTGCATACGCCTAAAACTTCTCCGATCACCTCCTTCCCGTCCTCCTCTCCCCCCCCCGGGGGGGGGGGTCTCTCGAACCCTCTCGGGTTCAGGTCAGGCAAGAGGGGAAAATGGAAAGGGCGGAGGTGGTTTTGGCAAAGTAAATGGGGGTGGGGGTTTTGTTGGGGGACGTGGAATTGGGACGTGGAATGACCATTATGCCCTCAGGGTTTCCATTTACTTACAATTGGATCCTTCTTGGTTCTTAAGCATAACTAGGCCTGCCTGGCACGGCATCAAAAGTTACTTGTAACTATGTTTGACATAAAATGAGATAAAACTCTTCTAATATATTTATTTTATATTTTGTAGATCACGATTAAAAAGTTACTTATAAGTCATTTCAAATGAGTTCTTAATTGATTCCCAAATTCTCTCCCTTCAATAGTTTATTTGGCCCATAAAATAATGTTTTCAAAAATTTTGGGTCAAAAATTAATCCTTAACTATTTTTTCTTGAATTTTCAAAAAAAAAAATCCTAAATTCTCAAAATTAGCTTTATGATTATGTAGACCATATTTTAATGGTTTCATTCTCAGTAATTTCTCTGAAAATTTCTTCTCAATCATGCTTTAATTAAATCCACAAATTTTGAGATATTACAGTCGACTTCTAGTAGTTCGAGCATTTTTGCTAGCAAGGCGTTTTGTTGCATTGGCTATTATAACCATGACTTCGGCCTTTATGACTGCCACACGTTTACTTGTGAGCAATAACATTCACTTGCAGGTTTAAAAAAAATGTCAATTAATGGATTTTCACTTCGTTAAATCTTTTTTTTTTTTGGTTGAGCCTAGGATATCCATCACTAGTAGTAGTGTAAATTTCTCAAAAAAGCTTTAGTGCTGGCTATGAGACTCTCTCCATACATACTATTAGGGATTGAACTCCTGACTAAATATTTAAAGAATTTAACTAAGTGTCAACTATGCTAGGCCTCGTGGTTTCATCCTATTCCTTTGCTGTCGTGTTCTTGTGACTTTGTCTTCCTTTTTTTCATCAAGTTGCAGAAATCATTATTGTGATTGTTATTATTAGTTTTTCTTATGAAAGGAGGGATAAGAGGGTTTATGAGGTTAGTGTGAAATCTATCAAAACAATCAAAATGGTATTACCAAAGACCATGGTGCCTTAAATCTCTTTTTGTGATTGAAGAACTCCAGAAGAAAAAGGCTCTCAATAAGGCACTGTTTTGTTCAATATTATTTCATCTATATGGGTTAATCCATTGTAATTATTTGGACAATAAACTTTTTTTTTAATTATTAGTTTCTAATGACTTGAAATCAATAAAAATTAATTGGTTGTTGTTATTATTGTTATTGTCTTAGTTTATGTTAAAATTGATAGACTATTACTTTCTACCTATGGTCATCATAAAAGCAAGTTAGAAATTAACTTCCATCCTAAATATAAGATCTTAATTCAATTTATTTTCTAAATTTTTACTTCATGCTCTAAAGTATCCCTAATGATTACGCATATCAATGGGTTTCTATTCAAAAATAGTCATGATTAAAAATGATACTTTAGGAAAATCAACTTATATTTGTGACTTATACATATTTTTATATCTTTTTTATGGGTTTTTGTCACTTTAATTGGTCCTTATTGTACTATTTGATTATTAATTGAATTAGTGTGTTTTTTTTTTAATTATTGCTTTATAGAGGCAAAGTTGTCATGTTTTAGTATAATTGTGATTAATTGATTTTTAAGGACAAGTGATGCTACTGTATTTTTTTTTATTTTTCACAGATTTGCAAATTATAGTGCAGTCCTAATTTCAATGGCAACAAAGGACCAGAGAAATGCAGAAAAGGATCTGCTTTAGAGAAAATAAAGTAAGAGGAAAAGAGAAAGAGAGTGGCAAAACGACGTCGTTTTGGAGGGAGTCCTAAATGTTCACATTCCGCCTCCTCCTCCTACGGCAATGCGCTGGGAAGGAGAGAGGAGTCGACAGGAAACCACACGCACACTTCCATTTCTCATTCTCTAGCGAATCCTTCATGTTCCATCAATCCAAACCATTAATTCATCATCTTCTTTGCGTCTTCTTCCTAGTTGCAGCAAGGAATTCAACGCAACCTCTTCCTTCCACCTCCAACCTTGATTATCGGCCCATTTCATAACTACCAACCAAAACCTTCAATCCATCGTCCCATCACTATTTCTCGCTATCTCTTCGCGATCCGCCATCATCTGTCGTCATCTTTAGCGTTTCTTCATCACTGCCATCATCTTTTTCAGCTTTCCTGTCTGTTTCCATTACCTTCTCGACGTCTTCTCCATGGTCGCTTGCAGTAGAATGCTGTTGGTGTCAATCTTGATGGCAATACATGGCTTGTCTCCATAATCCTCTAATTTAGCAACAATGGCAGGAGCTTGGGTCTCTAGAGGAGAGTTTCATACTACGCTAATCTTCTTCTTCCTATTAGTTGCTTAACAATTACTAAGTCTTAGGATAGTTCTTCTGATTATTGAGAATTTTGTAATGTTTAATTTGATACTTCAGAAGATTATTGTGGTTAAATTATTATTTAGCATTTGATTTTGGGCTGTCTATAGCTTTAATTTTAATTACGATGTTGTAGTTATGACATTTGTATTGACTTGGAAGTTAATATATTGTGATTTTCCAAAGTGGTTTGGAATTTTGAATCAGAAAGTCCTTTGCTAGTTTTAATTCTGTTGTCCTAAATTATTGAATTATAATTAAATATTGGTTTTTAACATCTTGAGTTTCATTTTACTGTTCTGGTTATAATTAGTAAGTTAGAATTTTGGAAAATATTTTATAACAATTTGAGATGGCTTAGTTGTTGGATTAAAAGTTTAATTATAATTCTTAGTTCTTTGTTTTTAACTTTCATATATATTGAAGTGATGATTGTCTGTTGAATTAGATGATATTTTGTTATCATTGTTTTCTCGTGTGTCTCGTTTCATTCCACTCATTATCATTCCATTTAAATCATTTTCATATAAAAATATCAAAAACAAGTCTTTTAAATTCAATTTAATTCATTGCATTTAGTTAGTAGTTCATGAAATCAAAATTCTAGTTATAGTTTAAGTTAGTTTGCATTTATTTACTAAGATTTAATTCATTTTGGCTCCTCAAAGAGAAACAATCCGAGTATGCATTATATTGCACAATTTTGGTTTATTTTTGGAGTAACACTAGGGCACAAAATTAAGGGCTTTATTTCAATTTATTATAAATAACTAACTCAACTAATTTTCTTAATCTACTCAAATTAATTAAGTAGCTCTTATATTAAGAATAGGAGGTAGTATTTTATTATTTTAAATTTTAGATGCTTTGACATAAGGTGTTTTATCTACAATGTCATCAATGAGCTGCAAGCTTCCACTACAAAAAAAACAGTTGATTAGCGACAGAATTTGCGACGGAAAAAAATTATGTAGCTAATTTCTGACGGAATTTGTGACGGAAACAAATTCCGTTGCTAATTTTCGACGAAAATTCCATTACTAATTTTTTTGACAAATTAATGATGGAATTTTTCCGTCACCAATATTAACGATAGATTAGCAACCAAATTTCTCTCCGTCGCTAATTTGTCAGAAAATTTGTCAATAAATACTTAGCGATGGAATTTTTTCCGTCAGAAATTTCCGTCGCTAATTTCGCCGCTAAATTGTTTGTCATAGAAGTTTTTATCACTAATTTTAAATTTCATTATTTTAAATTATAATCTTACAAAAATGTATATAATAACAATTAAGAATATAATGATTTAAAAACATTTTTAATTATAAAATAAATTGATATATTTGTGGAATTGGTGTCAATGAAGATATCCTCATCATTCATATCATCATTAGGTATATACTGAAAATAGAAAGACAATTTCTTAGAAAACTTGTTTATATTTCATTAAAATAAATTCCTCTTGATTATTAATAATAATTAAAAAAATACAATAAGAATATTAATAACTTGTTTATGTAAACTGATATAAGAAAGAAATAATTTTATCATATATACAATATATGAAAATATATAATATATGATAGAAATTCAAAACCAAAAAATGAATTTATATGAACGCAAACTAATATTGAAGTGAATTTTGAATTTCAATCATTAAACAATAAAATTTGATCATGATATAATTAATACCCATGATATACATTGATTTTGGTATTTAATACAAAAACAAATGGTATATACAAAGAATTTTAAGAAAATAAATTACATAGGATATATATACAAGTAGGAGAATACTGTTTATCATAATCTATTCAAATTATTTATTTTTTTTATATAGAATAATTTATTGATTTTATTATAGTAGTTATTTTTTGAATAACACAATTTTTTGACTAATTGTAAATGATTTTCTTCAAATATATAAAACATATATAGATAATATAATATAATGTAATACAATACATATATAATTAAATTATATATCTTATCAATGTTAATTAAAAATAAATTTTAAAAATATTTATAAAAAAATTATTTATGATTTAAACTTCAAAATTAGTGTCATTAGAAATTAAAATTATATTAAAAATATTTTTTAAAAAATAAAAAATTATAAAACAACTAGTAAAACAAATATTTAAAAATTATTTTGTCATTAAAATTATTATGATTAAAATTATCATATAGTATATTTTTAGTTTTTAATAATATATGTATATATAATTGTTTGTATAAAATAATATTATACATATTTAATTTTATATAATAAGTCAACTGGTAAAGCTGCACACGCGCACAGATGAGGTCCTGGGTTTGAGCCATGGAGAAGTCACTTTGAGGAGGGAATTACGTGGTGGCGACATGTGGCAGGCAAAGGTGACATGTGACGTGGTAGCAGAGGTGAGATGGCAGCACACGTGGTAGGTAGAGGTGAGGTGGTAGCATACATGGTGGTAGAGCAGCACACGTGGCAAGCAGAGGTGAGGTAGCAGTGACACATGGAGGTGGTCATCGGTGATAACGTGGCGATTGGTAGAAGTGCCACATGGCATTTTAATTTTTTTTTCAAAAATTACGTTAGCGACGGGATTTTTCCGTCG